GGGGGGGCGTTTTTATTTTATTTCTTAAGGTAAAATTTACGTTACTATCCTATTTTTTAACGGTTTGGGAGGCTAGGGGGGAGGGGGCGGGCCGGTAGAATCGGCCCGTGGATCCGCGCCTGTCCAAAAATAGCTTACAAACAAAATCGCTTCGCCGCTACGCGGCTCAGTAAAGAAAGAATGTAAAGGTTGCTCCGAATAATGAGGAGGAAATAATGTGCAGAACGGGAAAAAACGAGAGAATGTCATCAGGGGATGAAAGTGAGTAACAGCTATGTAGCTTGTAAATTTGAAAGAGGGAAAACGCTGATTAAAATGATAATAATGAAATAGCAAACAATTGAGGAGTATCATAGGTACCAATTCAATGGATATTTGTATAAAAAGAGCCCCCGTCAGTACTCGGCCGTCAGATGGTAAAACGGTCTAACTCGAAAATTTGGCTTTTTGAGGTAAATTCACTTTCCGGGTAATGTGAGGGCACTCTTTTTAACGTTGCTATCGAGAAAATCCCATCGTGTCTTCTTTTAGAGATAATTTCCGCTATCTTGGTACTTTTTTTTAATTTTTCCTTCAGATTTGATGGTAAGACGGTCTATCTTTGAGTTAGCCCATTGCCGGTAATATCGTTTTGGGGTAAAACGAGCTATCTTTTACATAAACCTTTTTACCTTCTTAACTGAGATGTTTTAATCATCGCTGTCAGATGGTAAAATGGTCTACCTTCGAGTTAGTAGTATGGCAATAGTGTTTATGGTCTATCTAGAAGATAGACCATTTTACCATTTTATGATGTGTAGTGGGAGTGTAGTCATGTGCTGTGGTTAAACAGTCTATCTGCACAAATATCTCATTTATTTTATAATTAAAAATCCCAAATAAGCACAAAATTCTTCAGTTATCAGTGTTTAGTATGCGTCTTCTTGTTCCATTGCTAAACATGGATTATACCCATCTCCTAAAAAAGCTCAAACCTCTAAACTTCAAAGTCATTTTTCTCAAAACTGCGATTTTCTAGATAGACCGTTTTACCATCTGACGGCCGTACTAAAAGAGCCCCCGTGAGAAGGCCCACGGGGGCTCTTTTTTTTTTGGGGGGGGGGGGAAGAGCGCCCGTGGACAAAAAAATTAATTTGAGCCCTGCTTATGGAACTCCGAAAAAGATAAATTTAAACGTAATGTAATTATAAGTGATATTGAAAATGGTGGATTGAATATTATTGATATTGCTAGTAAAATATCTTCACTTCGTTTGGCATGGATATCTCGTTTTTTAATGATAATGGCTCTTATTGGAAAAATATGTTTAGATAATGGTCCGACAAAATAGGGGGTTTGCCACTATGTTTACATTTCAATTGTAACATAAAGGATATGAATTTATTACACTCTTAATGTCAGCGAGTAAATTGTGCCGAGTAAAACAAGTTGAGTAACAAAATGAGCAATTCAGTACTCAAGCTGGAGTAAGACCTTGATTTTAGTGGTACTCGTCACCCGAGTAATTTGTTACCTTCGATAAAGAGTAAATCAATGACTCAACATTGAGTACGAATTTCGTTTGTATCAATTTTGAGTAAACTACGGTTGGGTATTACGCTGCGGCAGGTGATAAATAAATCAACATTGATCTCTTACCCGAATTTACCTCGGGTGCGAGTGAAAGTTGGATCGATGGAAAGTGCAACTAGCTGTCAATATGCATGTGACACCTGTTCTACACATTTTTACATAATAGCAGCTGTATGTTCCTTTGTCTACCTAAGGAACTGGATATTTTGTACTCTTTCATTGTCCGTCATGTGCATGTCTCGTGCATGCATGTGCGCGTGCAGAAAGATGCGAAAGAACTGAGATACACTCTTTAAAAAAAGGTGCAAAAAAGGGTGCAAAATAAGAGTTTGCACCCTTTACATAAAAATGAACCCTATTGAGGGAAAAGGGGTTAAAAAAAGGGTGCAATATAAGATTTTGCACCCTTCCCACAAAAATGAACCCTATCGACCAAAAGAGGGTGCAAAATAAAAGTTTGCATTTTGCATGCATATTCATGATTACTTTCCACGTGTTCACATAAAAATACATTTATCATGATTTGCAACGCCCCAATTTCAAAAAATGAAATGGAAGCTCTCATTACCAATCATGTGAAAGAATATGTTTTGACTAATACATGATGATAAAAAATTTGCCGGGAAACCGCCTACTAATTCATATATTTGGTAAACTTATTTCTCTCATGGTCTGGTGAGAGAGATAGGGTAGTCCCATATACATCTTTCTGTGTATAGTGCTTGTAACTTTACGAAGAATGGGCCAAATTTCTTATCATTTTGATGATTCCAGAACCTTGCAGATGCTAGATGCTAGATGATCAACCTTTTCTGATCGATTCCACAACGTTTCTTTCACAATGCAATCGCATGACCATTACTGGTCTTAAAGCTACAGTCCCATATACGTCCCGGACCGTCCCGGACCATCCCGGACCCCATCCGGGGTGATCCGGGATTCGGTCCGTGTTGACACCGTGTTGGCACCGGGGTGGTCCTGGATGGTCCTGGATGGTCCTGGATGGTCCTGGATGGTCCTGGGCGGTCCGGGAGTCGACCCCGGATGTTTTTGACGGTCAAAAACTGCCGGGGTGGTCCGGGACGGTCCGGGACAATAGTTTGATCCGGGGTGATCCGTGTAGCCACCGTGCTGGGTCCGGGGTCATCCGTAGTGGCGCCGGGGCGGTCCGTGTTGATCCGTGGCAGTCCGGGAGTGAGTTATTGACCGCCCAGGACCATCCAGGACCATCCAGGACCACCCCGGTGCCAACACGGTGTCAACACGGACCGAATCCCGGATCACCCCGGATGGGGTCCGGGATGGTCCGGGACGGTCCGGGACGTATATGGGACTGTAGCTTAAAAGCATCACACTTTTTTGAACAAAACATCCCGGACCATCCCGGATCACCCCAGACCATGGTCCGGGATGGTCCGGAGTGGTCCGTGCTGGTCCGTGCTGGTCCGGCTTTATATGGGACTAGGGCTTAAGCGTTACCCAGAAAACATACTCAATATTTGAGCAAAAAAAATCGCTCAAACAATTTGAGTCAAAACATGTACTCGTTAATTGAGTAAAATTTGGCTCAACTCATGAGCAGTTAAATTCTTACTCGACATGAGTTGATTACGTTTCTACCCAGTACTGAGTAAAAAAGGAAACCGCTAAACAAAGAGTAAATATTGAGTAAAGGTTGACTCATTCAAACTGAGTAGAGATTTAGTCTTTTATTGAGTAATATTTTTACTCAACAGATGGGTAGATTTGTTACTCAACACATGCTGAGTAAAGTTTACTCAAAAGTCGGGTGGTTTCCTTTTGACCACCCAAAAGAGTAACATTTTGACTCAAATTGAGCAGTTTTTTGTTTAGAGTGTATGCTCTAAACATAATTTGCCAGAATTCTATGTAGATCTTTTTTGTACTTGGTCAGAACTAAAATTCATTGATATGTTTAAAGTAAGAAATATTCCAAATGAAATTATTTGGAAAAATAGTAACATCACCTTTAAAAAAAAAATACTGTTTTATCGAGGATGGCAAGAGGCCGGTTTATTGAAAATTCACAATTTGATTACAAATGGTATTTGGAATGATTCTACAATACTAAATACAAAGGTGAAAGCACACCAGCTCTTATTTGATTTTAAATATACAAAATTAAAGAAAGCATTTCCACAGTGTTGGTTGGATAGATTAAGATATGAATTTGAACAAGAATGTGATATTTCGAATATGATATAAATAGAAACAGGGGATAAAGTGAATGTTTTTGTTATGAAAGTGAAGGATTACTATCGTTTGTTATTAAGTAAAAAGTCAAAGGAATCAAATATCATTTACTTTTGGAATTTCTTTTTAGATTTGGATAATGACTTTGTTTGGAAAGGATGTATTTTTATTTAAATTAAAGCAAATTCGTAATAATAAAGTTAAACAATCTAATTTCAAGATGATTCATAGGTTTATTGCCTCAAAAGAAAACTTATATAAATGGCAATTTATTAATAATAATTTATGCAACTCTTGTGGACAAGTTGACTCAACTTTTCATTTTATGTTATATTGCAAGGATGTGACTTTGTTTTGGAAAATAATATGTAATTTGATATTTAATCTATTCCAAATAGAAACACAAATAAACCAGAATATAATAGTTGTAGGTAAGGATATTGGAAACAAGAAATATTCACTTCTGAATGTTATTTTAAATTATGCGCAATATGCAATTTATAAATGTTACGTTAAGAAGATTGTTAATGGTTCTGTTTACTACCCACATACTTTGTTTTTTTAATTCAAGTCGTTGATAAGATTATTGTTAAGATATGAATGTGTTAGCAAAGAAAATAATACTAAGCTGGAAGAATTTTTGAATGTACTTTAATTTTTAGCCTATGTTATGTTCCACTCAATCATTGAGTTATTAATGTACAAATGTATTACTATTATGGAAATAAAAACCTCGCTTGAGGATAAGAGAAAAAAAAAATAGCGAGCAGACCCCACCTGACTACTATTTACCGCCCCCGTCTCTCATCAACCTCTCCCTTTCTCTCCTCTCCAATCCTCATCCTCCTTATCCTGGCCCTCCTCTTCCCTGCACTCCTTCTCTTCCACCTTGAATTTTGAATTCCCCATAATACACTTTGCTAATCGTCACCTTATATTCGGGCAGCAAAATCTGTTTGACAAAATTTAAGAACACCAACGACCTATAGAAATTTATGGAACTTGGGCAGACTCACAGTACCGACGATCGACGAAAATAGCGAAGGAAGGATACAATAGAGGGGTGTAATCGTATTTTAATGCAGCATAATTCTAACATTTAGATGATGGGGAATTCGTGAACGTTTCTGAAAACAGTCCTTCTACACGTGCTTACCTTATTTGTTTTCATATTTGTATTTTGTATTTGTTCTCATTATTTGTCAATGTATCAGGTCCAATTGTAACACTCGTTCTGCGGAAGATCAACCATCGTTTTGTCGCTATGTTAGGCGGAGTGTTGTGTGGATCATTTATTATTGCAAGCGCTTTCTTCAACAACACAGTTACTGTAGGAGTCTGTTTCGCTGTATCAGGTAAGCTAAATATTTTATAGTTTAGCTATGTAATTTAATATTAATATGTAGCTCATTTTGTGCCATACCTGGTAGAGAGCCAGGGCCCCGTTGCACAAAACTGACCAGTGATGGTCACTTTGCCATCAATGGTAACTACCCTGGGAACCTTGATTTTGATTGGCTGTTGAGCCCTGTTACCAGGGTAGTTGTCATCGAAAGCAAAGTTACCATCAGTGGTAAGTTTTATGCAACATGGCTCAGATCAGTGAACTATCATCATCATACTTGCCTAAAGTGAATTTGAGAGGATTTTTGAGCTAGGAAATATGTTTTCTATGTGTGTGACCATACTCCGTTTGAACCCTGGACATCACCATAGTCCCACGTGTACAATGCATACAAAACTGGACTCATGACGACACACATCGGCAAATTGCAATGGTGAAAAATAGCTATATGACTCATATTATCTATCAATTTATTATATATATATATATATATTGTCACGAAATTGGTTTCATTTCGTAGATAGCTATTTCGGCGTAGATGGCGTAATTCAAGTTAAATAAACGATGCTATAGTTCATTGATTAATGTAACTTATGATATGTCTTGTATCAAAGAATTGGTTTTATATTGCTTATCTTGATAATTTCTTGTTATGTGAATTTCTTGCTATGTGAAATTATGAGGAAGGAAATAAAATATCATTTAAAACAAAAAAATCTACACTTTAAACCTTCCTCTACGGTTACTTTGATTATACACTGTTACATGCAAGAATTTTTTCCCCCTTTTTTTTCTATGTTCATTGATTCATGTAACTCATGAAATGTCTTGTATCAAAGATCTTGTTTTATATTGCTTAATTTGATAATTTCTTGTTATGTGAATTTCTTGTTATGTGAAATTATGAGGAAGGAAATAAAATATCATTTAAAAAAAAAAAAAAAAAAAAAAATGATAATTTCTTGTTATGTGAATTTCTTGTTATGTGAAATTATGAGGAAGGAAATAAAATATCATTAAAAAAAAAAAAAAAAAAAATAGTCACGTGTAAATTTCAAGAATGTTTGATCGTGCATGTTTTCGACAGTTTTAGTCTAATTACTTTTCTACCATGAATAATTACTTGTTTTCTTCTGTTTAGTTTTATAGATTAAAACTAGTGCTTTCATTTGATATATGGTTTGTTTCAATCTGATATTGGAAAAAGAAGTTATATCAATGTTTATGTAATTCTTGGAAACCTAACGAGAATAACAAATGTCTAAGAAATGTGTATGTAAATCAAGTGGCTCACGTTGCGAGGAGTTTCCTGTCATAGTCTACATGATTGCCGTCGCCCACCGGGCAAAGGTGATCAGACTATGTTTGGATATTTGCCCAATAAATGTTGCGTGCAAACGAAATGATTGAAATGATCGTTTGCATGTCTTTCCATGAGGAAGCCTAAGATTCATTTCTGATCTTAGGTGACGACCATGGTTAGGATCTAGGTTGTGTTTGTTGGGTCTTTTGCGTTCTAGCATTAGACGATACCAGGGATTGCTCTTTCGGTGGTCTGGAGTAGACGGCTAGTAGGGACTTACTGCGTAGCAGAGCCAGTGGCATGGTCGAGTAAGCTGACTGTACAAAGACAGACGGTCTGGTTGTTTGAAGGTGCATGCATGAAGCAAACTGGTGCGGCCAATGGAAGTTGCATGCACAATCAGACTGGTATAGACGTCTGAAAGGTGCAGGAAGCAAACTGGTGCGGCCAATTGGAGTTGCATGCACAAGCAGACTAGTATAGACGTTTGAAAGGTGCAGCAGCGGACTGGTTTAGTCGGCTGGTGGTACACGACGGTACAACGGTTGGTAGAAGACGGTGGTGAAGTACAGACCTGTAAACGGTCTGGTAGTGTCGACTGGACGGTGGTCGAGAGGTGGTGCAAGGTCAACGGGGCAGTATATCTCTGCCAAACGGATCCACGGCGAAATTGGTACCGGACTAGGAAAACATACCAGCAGAAGGCATCCTGACAAGATAAGCTGCTGGGGAGTATTCGACAGAGCTCCGGTTTCGTTACAATATATATATATATATATATATATATATAGTGCGTCTCAGAAAAAAAAAACACCGAGAATTATCGATGTTTTATCATAACTTAATATACGTAAAGCTTAGATCCTCCTCTTTCACTTTGTGCTGCTCATATGGTGCATATTCCACGCATGATTGATTAAAATCAATTTGAAGAAAGGATACCAAAAAGTCATTTTGGGGACGGTATCTGAGTTTCGTTGGCGATCAGCTATGCACCAAGTCTTTCGTCTTCTTTGTGCATTGCTGATCGTCAACGAAACGGAGTTAAAGCTAAAGACCAGTTATGGTCATGCAATTGCATAGTGAAAGAAACGTTGTGAAATCGATCAGAAAAGGTTGATCATCTAGCATAGATGTACTGCAAGGTTCTTGAATCATCAAAATTATAAGAAATGTGGCCAAGTCTTCGTGAAGTTAGAAGCACTGTACATAGAAAGATGTATATGGGACTACACACACGTGCGCGACACGTGCATTTGTATCTCTCAACAGTATATAGATATACTAATTTACCAAATATATCAATTAGTAGGCGGTTCCCCGTCAAAATTTGTATCGTCATGTAATATTCAAAACATATTCTTTCACATGATTGGTAATAAGAGCTTCCATTTCATTTTTTGAAATTAGGGCATTTCCAATACTGGCCTTTACCTTTAAGTCCTTTGCCCAACAGCTAGAAGCCATATTATCTATTTCAAGCCCCTTACAGGGTCACCTTTGGAAATGAGCGAACATGACAATGGCTTACTCCTATCCTTTCCCTACGTTGATTTTTCATGTAATCCGCTCCCTATTAGGTCAAGATATGGTTTGACCCCAAAAAATTGCAACAAAAGATTTTTCAACGGTTTCTAGTAATATTTGACCTCAGGAATAACAAACTAAAAGTATACCAAAATCGACGTTTCAGAAAGGTGTTATCTTCAAGATGGCGTCCAAGATGGCCGCCGATCCCTAAAAATGGCCATAAATCACTTATTATCCATCCTCGAGACATAATTTTGGTGTCTATCCCATGATTTCGGGGGTCACAGAATCCATTGAGACCATTAAAAATGGTTTGTGATGGTCTAGGAAACCCCAAAATCCAAGATGGCGTCCAAAATGGCCGCCATAACATAAGAATGGTCGTAAGTCACTTATTATCCATCCGAGAGACATAATTAGGGTGTCTATGCTATGGTTTTCGGGGTCATAGAATCCACTAGGATAAGTTAGAAAGTTAAGCAGTGGTTCAGGAAACCACGAAATCCAATATGGCGTCCAAAGGGCCACAAAACCACTAAGATTTCTAAATAGAGGGCGCACTTTATAAACAGGAAATGAACTTGAAAGTGACAAAGACAAAGTAACAACTTAATAATAATATCTAAACACACATTCATAATACCTACCATACAATTAAAAAAATTAAAACCTCGTGCTGTTCTTGTCATCTTATAGCGAATACACATGCAGATCTTCATATTCCTTCATTTCGATGAGGAATGTACTAAGGAAAAGAAAATCATCTTCTGCTTCACTTTCAAGTGACTTGTTCTATGGTTGTGGCATACACCTGAAAATCAAGTTGGCAAGGTCCACACACACACTATTACATGGTAGTCTGTAACATCGAAGGTACAGCAAGGTGTGCTACAAGCAGTACAGCAGTTGCAATGAATCAACTTAAGAAGATTATTAAAACAGCCTCCGTATTCAATACATTTCCTCTAATTTCCAGCCCCTGCCATGTCTTACGATTCACTCTCCACACATGCCATGACTTGGATGTATGTTCTGAGGGAGTGGAATTCGGTTGAGGCTGGCGTAGGAGGGAGTCGCATTGGCAATTTTCTTGACAAACAAGTTATATCGTAATCAGCGCTCAAAATACACGGGGGCGGTGGGCGATTCGCCCCCGTGAGCTACATAATCGCCCCCGTCAGGTTTCTCACGGGGGCGATTGCAAAATTAAAAATCGCCCCCGTGGAATTGTAAAATAAAGATGATCTTTTCTGTTATAACCAAGGCTCAAATTAATTTTTTGTCCACAGGGGATCTTCCCCCCCCCCCCCCAAAAAAAAAGAGCCCCCGTGAGCCTTCTCACGGGGGCTCTTTTAGTACTGACGGGGGCTCTTTTTTATACAAATATCCATTGAATCGGTACCTATGTATTTATCATTAATTGACGGCCCTCCACCATAGCCGTCAAAAACTACATTTACAGAACCATATAGAGAGAGGGGGGGGGGGGGGTGTGAAATCAGGATATGATCGTGCTATTCTGCCAAAGCTGTCTCCTGTCTTCCATGGTATCCGATGCACCAATGAACCACCATCAAGGACATACCATCTATGTTCTTTCACGGCTTCACCCGACACTTACCTTCCATGATCGGTTATAACATGAGCTAGCTGAGGCTTCTCAGCCTTCCGAAATAAATTCATAGCCTCGAAAAGTGTAGGTAGGAACAGACTGACCTCAAAACTCATCACCTCTGCTACCTCAAGTTCCCTTGTTTTTTAAACTACCAGGAACTGTTGAAAAATCAAAGCAAGGCCGCATTCATGCTTTGTTTAGGTACAATTTGTACTTTCGAAATCTCTCCCAGATTCTTAGCTTTGTCTTCCCTTTTGAACGAGACTATTAAAATAGCATATTGGAAGGCCGCTGAGCTATAATCAGCGATGTACAATAGACCACTGAAAGGGATTGACTTGCAATTAAGTTGCTTCCAGACCTTCATGATTTTGCTGAAAGCAATCGGTACCCTCATGAAAGGAACAGGACTTCGCAAAATCCTTAGAATAGATAACAGGGAACTATACTTCCACTCTTACAATGCAGCTAAGGCTCCAAAGATATAGAACTGTAAGCAGTTGAAAGTGGACCTTGGTACGCGATCTGTGCTCACAACTACTTTTTCTGGATGCCTACAATGATTGCGATTCGACTTCCCGGATGTTCGGAATAGGGAAGAAAGCAGTCTTCCAGAAGCTTGTGAAAAGCAACCTCACTTTGGAATCCTGTGCTAGTACTTTCCTTCTACCAATACAGCCAAAGTAACTAACTTAGAGGAACTTGGTATCAAAGCAATGTCTGTCATGTTTGGTGGCCGCTGTAATGACACAGTTGCATCATTACGATACAACTTTTTCGTCAAGAAAATTGCCTTAGCAACTCCCTCCTACGTCAGCCTCCACCAAATGCTCTCGCTCAGAACATACTACCAAGCCCGGGTGGGGGTGGGGGGGGGGGGGGGTGAATTAGATTAGAAACCCCTACCTATATTTAGGGGGTCATTTTTTCGAAGTATTAAAGCCAACTTTTCACAATGCAAACACCCGAAAATTTTGGAAATTTTGAAAACACGGACCCATGTTTAGGGATATTTTTGTTAACAATGGGACCCATGTTTAGGGATTCTTGGTGAAAAGGTGACTCATTAGAGCGGCACACGTGACTACCCCCCCCCCCCCTCCCGGGCTACCAAGTTATGGCATGGATGACGAGTGAGAAGACATGTACGTCAAAGACTAGGGCTGGAAATTAGAGGACAATCATCTGGTTTTACTAATGTCAAATACGGAGGCTGCACCTAGTAATCTTCTTAAGTTGATTCATTGCGACTTTTGTACTGCTTGTAGCACTCCTCGCTATACCTGCAGATGTTACGGATTACCGTGTGGACCTTGCCAACTTGATGTATTCCACAATCCATTTCACGAGGCACTTGATAGTGAAGCAGAAGATGATTTTTCCTTCCTAAAGTACATTCTTCATCAAAATGTGTATTCGCTATAAGATGACATGAACAACACGAGGTTTTAAACATTTTTAATTGTATGATAGGTATAATGAATGTGTGTCTAGATATTATCATTAAGTTGTTACTTTGTTTTTGTCACCCCCCCCCCTCTCTCGGAACCCTCCCTTAGTGTTGACAATGACCTGTCATTAGTTGAATTGACCCTTTTTCTGGGGGAGGGGGTCGCGGTGACACCATAAGGGTGAGAGAAAAACATTACAAGTTCATTTCCTGTTTATAAAGTGCGCCCTCTATTTAGAAATCTTAGTGGTTTTGTGGCCCTTTGGACGCCATATTGGATTTCATGGTTCCTGAATTAACCACTGCTTAAACGTTCTAACTTATCCTAGTGGATTCTATGACCCCCAAAACCATAGCATAGACACCCCAATTATGTCTCTCGGATGGATAATAAGTGACTTACGGCCATTCTTATGTTATGGCGGCTATTTTGGACGCCATCTTGGATTTTGGGGTTTCCTAGACCATCACAAACCCTGTGGCCCTTTGGACGCCATATTGGATTTCGTGGTTCCTGAATTAACCACTGCTTAAACGTTCTAACTTATCCTAGTGGATCCTGTGACCCCCGTAACAATGGGATAGACACCAACATTATGTCTCTAGGATGGATAATAAGCGATTTATGGCCATTTCTAGGTATCGGCGGCCATCTTGGACGCCATCTTGAAAATAACACCTTTCTGAAACGTCGATTTTGGTATACTTTTAGTTTGTTATTCCTGAGGTCAAATACTATTAGAAACCGTTGAGAAACCTTTTGTTGCAATTTTTTGGGGTTGGGGTGTTTTTTTACCGTATATTAACCTGACTATATATTATGTACAGTTTAAGGCACGTCTGTCAACCCCATCCGACCAGTGCCCCAATTTAACGTCACACATTAGGTAAAGATGATGTTATAAGGCGTCCATTGCGTAATAGGACCTTGTCGCCTGTTACACATTCTATATACTAAGAGCGCTAGGCCTAAACTGTAAAATACATTGGATTGGATTGGAATAATCATACTTCTGCGTCAAGAGTAAACCTGTCAAAGCAAGCTCTAGCGTGTGGTATTTCTTTGTTATTGTTGTTTGCAATTCGTGGTACTTCTGATTGAAACTGGCATCGCGAAATCTTTCGGTATTCTTATAAGCCAGTTCACGGTTGCAGTCTGAGCATGAGCAGATAAAGGTCATTGCAGACCAGATTATGAAAAACACCAAGGGGTTATTATGTCACCTCCCTGAATACACAAAGACCATAAACGTGTCATGAAAGTTATGTATTCACTATTCTTTATACACAAGCATTGCACACAGGTGTGAAGTATTCTCTGAAAATATGTCACGCATGAGCTTAACTGGATCTTCCTTGCAGATTATGTAGACAAAAGATTCCTGCCTAGCTGCAAAGTAACTTGCCACGTTAACAGCGTTGACTGTAACGTGTGACGTCATTTTAAGGCACTGCGCATGCGTCACGTCGTCTCAGTCGGCGATCGAGAATGCGTAAACCTTGATTTTCCTAAATCTAGTACGGTACTAGTATATGCCGCGTGCGCATACAATATACAGTTCCTCAGGTAGACAAAGGAAAACCCCTTCCCTGCTATTATGTAAAAATGTGTAGAACAGGTGTCACATGCATATTCACCTGTTCTACACATTTCTACATAATAGCAGTGAAGGGATGTTCTCCCACAGCAATAGACCAGTTTCGTAATGTAACCAAATTTAATGCATACGTCTTTGTGAAGTGCCTCAATACAAATTATTTCATTCACCTGATAAGAATTATAGTATTTCAATAGTCATAATGCAACTGCATATATTAAGTGTTGCAATATTCTCTCTTCTTTTTTTACACTTTACTGTGTGGAATCATGAAGTTAAGAAAAAAGTAAAAATGAAATATGAAACAGTTTAAAGACGAACAATACTGAAACCAATGATTACTAGTAATATTGTTAATATTCATCATCACTATTTTTTCCACAGGTGCTGGCTTGTCAATGACTTACATGCCCACACTCATTGCACTGAATGATTTCTTCCGGGAAAAATTCGTTTTGGTGAACACATTCACGTTATATGGCTACACTGCCGGATCCATGCTGCTCCCTATTGTAACGGAAAGGTCCTTTGAAGCATATGGCTATGCAGGGGCGTTTATTATCCTTGGTGGTATCGCTCTGAACCTTGTCGCCTGCGGTGCAGCGATACGCAAGTCATCAAGAAACGTAGCTACGAATGAAGGCGAAATTCATGATGAAGTGAAGGAGAAACGAAAGTGCCATTCTAAAAAGGAATTATTGGAGATAAAGGAAGACAGGATTTATAAACAGGAGGAGGATGAGGATGAGAAAGGGGATGAACGAGAGGAGGAGGAGGAGGAGGAGGAGGAGGAGGAAGAGGATAGTGGAGAGTGCATTTCGGAGCAAAGAGGTTTGATTCAAACCGATAGCCGTTGCAAAAGTAAGCATGAGACATCAGCGAATGCACCCTCATCCTGGACCACACCCTTCTTTCAGACCTGTAACGGGTCTTGCGGACTCCTAAACGAACCTCTCTTTCTCTTCTCCTTGCCTATTGCTTTCTTGCAATATTACAGCATTTATGCATGGATGCTTTTTCTGGTCCCCCACGCTGAACACCTTGGCATCCCTCCTTCCAAAGCAATCTTCCTCTCCACAATCGGCGGTTTAGGTGGCTTCATCGGTCGAACCATTTTTATTATCCTCGTCCGCAAAGGGATCAACGTCTATGTTATCTACATCGCCTTAAGTCTCATATGCACGATATCCTTTCTGTTAGACTTTATCAGTTCTGCCTACGAGGTGCTAGCTACCTTAGCATTTGTCCAAGGGTTCTCCTTTTTCGTCGAGGATAACATACCGACCAGTTTATTCAAGGATGCAGTCTTTGACGAGACAAATGCTGACATGGCCATAGCTCTCAGTGTTTTTACGGGAGGACTAGGGGCGACATGTGCTGGGACATTCACAGGTGCGTAAATTGTAGTCTACTTGTTATCTTCAAACGTGATCGCAAGAAACTCTGAAAATGAACTCAAGGACAATACACCACTAGAAAGGATGGGGGAATGTGTAAAAATAGAAGGGGCGCTTATCATAGGTCAAAAGAGGTGCTCAAAGGGGGCACCTCTCATTTTTAATAAGGGCAATCACCGGAGATGAAAAGAGGCAATAACAACTGTCAAAATAAAAGGAACAACTCTCAGATTTGAATAGAGACAATTATAATAGGTGAAGGGCAGCGCTCAAAATACACGGGGGCGGTGGGCAATTCGCCCCCGTGAGCTACATAATCGCCTCCGTCAGGTTGCTCACGGGGGCGATTGCAAAATTAAAAATCACCCCCGTGGAATTATAAAATAAAGATTATCTTTTCTGTTATAACCAGGGCTCAAATTATTTTTTTGTCCACTAGGGAATCTCCCCCCCCCCCAAGAAGAATGTCATCAGGGGATGAAAGTGAGTAACAGCTATGTAGCTTGTGAATTTGTAAGAGGGAAAACGCTGATTAAAATAATAATAATGAAATAGCAAACAATTGAGGAGTATCATAGGTACCAATTCAATGGATATTTGTATAAAAAAAGAGCCCCCGTCAGTACTAAAAGAGCCCCCGTGAGAAGGGGCTCTTTTTTGGGGGGGGGGGGGGAAGAGCCCCCGTGGACAAAACAATAATTTGAGCCCTGGTCTCAACTCAGTAAGCATGGCTGCGATTTGTAAAAGTTGTTTTTAAAAAGAAGATTCGGGTGAATAGCAGTGCTTATTTAAACAAATATTTGTATTAAATTGAATCACAATCATTATATGTCGCTTAATCCCTTTTAATGACTTTGTTTTCTTTCTCGTTTGCAAGGGGAGAAGAAGATATGTCACGTTAAAGACATCATAAAGATCAGTGCTGTATGCGTATATTTTATATGCACAGGCCCCGCGGAACGTTTATCAAAGTGGGGGCTAAAGTATTTACGATCAGGTAGAGGGTAGCGAGCGTAAATTGATGTGGGGGTGGGGGGGGGGGCTTAAGGGTTTTAGGCATTTAATTACGGTCAGAGAAGCACAAATATTTTGATGCCGCATTTGTGTCACTGGCAGGTCAGGGGGGCGTTTTTTAATTTTATTTCTTAAGGTAAAATTTACGTTACTATTCTATTTTTTTTTACCGTTTTGGGAGGTTAGGGGGGGGGGCGGGCCGGTAGAATCGGCCCGTGGATCCGCGCCTGTCCAAAATAGCACACACACAAAATCGCCTCGCGGCTACGCGGCTCAGTAAAGAAAGAATGTAAAGGTTGCTCCGAATAATGAGGAGGAAATAATGTGCAGAACGGGAAAAAATCGAGAGAATGTCATCAGGGGATGAAAGTGAGTAACAGCTATGTAGCTTGTAAATTTGAAAGAGGGAAAACGCTGATTAAAATAATAATAATGAAATAGCAAACAATTGAGGAGTATCATAGGTACCAATTCAATGGATATTTGTATAAAAAAGAGCCCCCGTGAGCCTTTTTTTTGGGGGGGGGAGAGCCCCCGTGGACAAAAAATTAATTTGAGCCCTGGTGAAGTGGCACTTATCTGAGGTGGTTAGAGGAATTTCTGTACCTGAAAAGGGGCTCTCATCTGAGATTGGAAACGTGCACTTATTTCAAAAGAAATGGGCACTTGTCGAAAGGAAAGGGGCACCTATGAAATTTAATAGAGACATTTACCAGACGTGTGAGAAGGGGCATTTATGAGAAAAGGAAGTGGCTCTTATTAATAAAAGAAAAGAGGCATTTATCAGAATGAAAAGAGGCGTTTAAAAAGAGAGGGCACTTATGAGAGGTGAGAAGGTTCAATCATAAAATATGAAAAGGGGCACCGATCAGAAGGGGAAAAAGCACTTATTACAAAAGAAAAGGGCATCTCTCAAATTCAAATAAGGGCAATTATAATCGGTGAAGGGGCACTTACTAGAGGTGGTGAGAGGCACTTAAAAGACCATGGAACGGGCACCTATGAGAAATAAAATGAGGGAGCTTATCTTAAGTAAATGGATGCACCTTCCTGACGTAAAGAGAGGCACTTTAGGGGAACTGAAAAAGTGTTGGGGCGGCTTTGACCCCTGCACGCCCCCTGCTTCACCGGCTGTGTCCCATTGCATGAACTTCCATTATAAATTTTTGTCGGAGTATTGACCGACAACATTAAGCAGCGTACTGGAATGGCTTTTTAGCAGCTAACTAGAAATGCTGATGACAGAAAGTTATGGAGAAACCAGTGTGTCAAGGTCGATTTCATTGTCACCCAACCGCTTCCAAGTAAATAGACATAGAAAGAATATCTTTTAGACCTACACACACATATCAAAAGCACGAGGCTAGTTACCCTTTCTTAGCGTGATATTTCAAAGTTCTTTGTAATCATAAGATCAGATTGTTATTTCTTCAATCCATGTCTTCTGGTATTATTTATTTACTTTTACTCAGTCAAAAGGCAAATTGTGTTGCACTCTGACTTTTATGAGTCTCGGGTTTTAGGATTTATCTTCGACCGAGATTCTTTATGTAAATCATAGCCAGTTGAGCAAGATGCGTCTAAAGAAGGCTCCCACTTAGCCGAGTTGGAACCTCGAGTTGTGGCGAGCTGGCGCGATCTTATGGCGAGCCGTTTTATTATTAATTGATATCAATAAATCAATTCTTGATATCAAGAAATAATTTTATGTTGTAAAGCAATGGTAACTCTTGATATCAAGAATTTGATTTCGTGATATCAAGAAATATGTATTAATGATAAAACTGCTAGCCATAAGATCACGCCAGCTCGCCACAACTCGAGGTTCCAACTCGGCTAAGTGAAAGCCCTGCTTAAGGAAGTAGCTCGTACTTAGTCAGGCAACTCGTGCAGCCTTTGATAGTTCGTACCCTGTCGTAAAGATTAACCTAGCAGGAAACTGTTAAAGGAATCACACTAAGAAGCAAAAATGTTTGGAATTGATGCAAAACTCATATCATTGCGAAGGGGAAGCCTTACTGATCAAATACAACAACTCTCCTCTTCAAAATATGTTTGGGGCCCGCAGTAATCAACTCTCAAAAATGTTAGTTTTGAGATCCAGATTTTCTGCCTTCAGCGATCCTTTGTAGAGCGTCAATATTTGTGACGTCACACACGGGACACGGCTGGCTAGCTGCATACTGCTACACGGCACTGAGCTGTTTGTCCAGTGTGTGACGTCACAATTCAGAGCTCGTTACGCTCGTGTGTTTGGCTTACGTTCGGGGGCGCTTAGGGGTCTAAGAAGGGTCTTGAAAAATTGCATTTTACGCCTTTCCATGATATCTATATGATTTCTAAACAAATTATTCGCTCATTTCAAGAGAAAATCTTTCCATCCATATGTAATTTGTTCTAATTATCAGTTGTTAGTGAATTGTCTTTGTGTAGCTCCTTTAAGAGTTTTATTATAATATAATAAAACTCATAAATGTAGTTTATATTATAAACTACATGTATATTCGCTCCCCCTATACGCATGTTTTCATAGGTTATGATCAAACTGTATATTAGTATGCTTTGTCATTTAACATTAGAACTCCCTGACTGATAATTCTAATTCTTTTATGATCACTTTGTAGGTTATCTGTTTGATGTCACCCAGTCGTTCACGAAGGTTTTCGTCATCGGCGGCTTCATCAGGGCCGTCATGGTCGTCCATCTCTTCATCGTAGCGATCCTCATCAAGAGACGACGGATGAGAAATGAGCTTTTAGTTTGAACACAAGGGCGATTTAGGGGAGGGGGTAAAACATCCCCACTACCTCTGTTTTGGGAACCTAAGATGAGGTGCGTACGCAGGGGGAGGGGGGGGGGGAGGAGTTGACCCCCCTTTTTTTTTTTATGTGTGTGTTTTGGAGGACCCCCCCCTTTTTTTTATAAAAAAGAAAAATTGTGGTAATGGGTTACCCAAAAAAGCTGAAGAAACGAAATACCGATCGGCCAAATTTGTGTAGAACAGATGAATATGAATGTGACACCTGTTTTACTCATGTTTACATAATAGCAGTGAAGAGATGTTCCTTTGTCTACCACAACAACTGTTGAGGGTAGAATGAGGAACTGTATATTTTGTCCACTTTCTTTGTCCGTCATGTTCATCGTGTTACCCCCTTTTAATTTTCATTTCCTGTAACCAAATCATTTTGCATTACAGTGACCAAAAACATTGTAAACAGTATTTTAATGCTCATTTTTGTTATAACATTACATTTATTATTATCTGTCATTGTTTATATTATGTGAAAAGAAATGAAAAATAAATTCGCTCTGTGTAGAGCTACTACACTGTTAAAACAAGTATTAAAAAACTGCGGGTTAAAAAATTGTTGATTAAAAAACGCTCAACCATGGTTAAAAATGTAGTGTTGATTAAAATTACTTTTAATCTTGCGTTGGTTAAAAACAGTGTTGATCAAAATTATTACTTTTAACCTGTGTTGGTTAAGTCTAAGTCGTTGGCAAAAATTGTAACCCAGCATGGATTAAAAACAAAATTCCGACAGTAATGATAGCTCCCCTTCCGGTTAAAGTTTAATCGATGTTGATTAAAGTACTGGTCACGTGACCCAACGGAACGATATCGAAGCGCGTAGCTAGCGATCGCTCGACATACAAAGTACATGCAAAGTACATGCAGTTTACGCGTGCGACAAAATTAACAATGGAGGTTGTCGCGAGGACCTGAGAAATGGGGGTTTGGACGGTCTTATCTCCGTGTTTTCAGGAAAGAAATTATTTTAATATTATCATCATCAATTCTAAGATTGTAAGGAAGAAGTGAAATAAGGTTCTTGCTCAAATCAAAAACGATTTGTGTCCCCTAGGCTGTACGTAGCTCAACCAATAAGTAACATTTTACTTGCACCGTGCACCTGGCTCTCTCGTAAGCACACACACACTCATCAGTCTGCAAGAATCTTCAACCGTGAAGGAGGCAGACCCAATTACAGAAGGAGAAGTGTAGGCCTATTACGGATCACCTACCCAAATTGCATGCATGAATAATAATCTTATTTTTAAAATCTAATTGTATCTAATTGTTTAAAACAATTAAATATAAAATAAGATGTCATCATAAAGTGAAACGTCTTTATGCATGCAATTTGGGTAGTTCATCCGTTATACTTACTGGCTGAGCTACAACCTACGGGCCGGGACACAAAGCGTTTTTAATTTGAGCAAGAACCTTATTTCACTTCTTCCTTACAATCTTAGCATTGATGATAATCATATTAAACAATTTCTTACCTGCAAACACGAGGATAAGACCTCCAAACCCCCGTAAGTTTAACCAACAGTGGTTATAACTGTAACCAACAACCCACTAAAGTTTAACCAACATCGTGTGAATCAAAAAAGAATTAACCTACAATGGTTACAATTTTAACCAACGACACATGTAAGTTTAACCAACATCATGTGAATCAGCCCAAAACAAAGCATAAATAACCAACAAAAGATTAAATTTTTAATCAACAAATGGTTAAACTTTAATCAACACCATTTTAACCAACATTGAGCAATTTTTTTTAACCAATAATTGATTACAATTTTTAATCAACCACAGGTTAAATTTTAATCAACAGGCTGTTGGTTAAAGTTTAACCAACGATTGTGTGATTCACCTGGTAATCCGTGGTTGATTAAAATTTTAACCAACTTGATTAAAAATTGTAATACTTGTTCTAACAGTGTACAATGTTGTGCTGTAGGTGGCGCTAGACTTATATTACACACATCGGCTATTGACTTAGTGTTCGCCAATATTTAGTGTTCGCCAATATCACTGTGGTTATGTTTTTGGAAATTGTTATACTTTGGCGCCGCCTTTTGGCGTCTGCTTGATAATTATTTGTTATTAAATATACAAATATGTTGTGTCTTAAATAAGGATTTTAAAGTTAAATTTTAAGTTTAAACATTAATCCTCCTCCTTTTAGGTTTCGGTTTTATATTATTTGTTTATTCATGTTTATATTAATTCCTGTAGTACCTGAACAATTGTTTTATTTTATTATTCGTTTTGCTTGGCCTTGCTTGCATATCTCCAATTTTTTTCAATTTTGTCCGCGCTTATCTTTTGCAAAATCCTACAGCCGCCCCTGCCGTAAACGTCTTTTAATATTCCATTTTCCAAGAACTCTGTTTTTTAAATGTTGTAAACCGGTTCTCCTAATCTCAAACTTGATTATTTGTATGATATCAGGAATCAATTTGTATCTGAATGTTTTTTCTTCTTCTAATTTGTGATAGAGAAAACGGAAATGGGGGGGGGGGGGGGGGGGTATCTATATATAGGTTTTTGCGGCCAATTTCACACTCTTTTTATTCAAATTCGTGGACGGCCATTCAAATTCACATAGAGGTTGCTCGCAGGTGAATTCGGGCATTCAAATTAAAATCCGAGCAATCAATTTAATTTGTCGGCACTCTCATTTTCGGTGAAATCAAATTCACGAAAGTTCGTAAAATGTCCTCCTTCGTGCATTCAAATTAACGCGGTGCTCACGATGAGCCCGTCCAGGGCATTCAATTTCATTTTTTGGTGCTCAATTTCCTACTACGTGCATTCAATTTCATTTTTTGGTGATCAATTTCCTACTACGTGCATTCAATTTCATTTTTTGGTGATCAATTTCCTACTACGTGCATTCAATTTCATTTTTTGGTGATCAATTTCCTACTACGTGCATTCAATTTAGTGTAATATTGAGAGGGATTCCAGATAAGAGGGAAATTCTGATTTCTTTCAAAAGATTACTTGGGATTATTGGTAATCACTGTTACACAATGAAATATACACAGTTGAGTTAGGGCTTTTTGTTTATCTGACAATTATGGTTGCCTTTGTATAATATATTTGTTTGTCATTCCGCCAATTATATATGAATTAAACATGAATATCCCGTACAACAGCTTTCTTTCATCATATATGTTTACAAGTTCTATATTATTGGAATCATTGACAAATTTTCAAAACATAAAAACTAGCCATTTGGAGGTGATGTCTGCAATAGTGATGCAGAAATGCATTTCCCCTCAGTTTAAAGGCACACTGCACTACTTGTAGCTACTTGCGCCCTCTATATAACAAACAATGCCTAATCGGTGACCATTGGTCCCCCATGATCCTCTTTTTCTTATGTTAACTGAGAGCTGAGTCGATGAGATAACCACCTGTCTAGTGACCTTGCAGGGCAGTCTAATCCCTCCTGTAAACTACGGCAGATAAGCTTTAAAAAAAAAAATTACTTTGAAATGCATTTCCACAAACTTGAACGTAAAGCCTTTTTCTATGAAATTGTTCTTTCGTATTACATAAATATACCAGTTATATATTTATGTTCCTCTCTCTCTCTCTCTTTCTCTCACTCTCTCTATATATATCTCCCTATCACGCCCTTTCTCTCTCCTTCTCTTTCTCTCTCCTTCTCTTTCTCTCTCTCTCTCTCTCTCTCGCTCTCCCCAATATCTCTCCCTCTCCCCCTTCCTCTCTATTTCACATGCCACCCTCTCCCCATTCTCTCTCTATCTCTGTCGCTCTCTGTTTTTCTCTAATCTCTCTCCCTCAACTTTTTCCCCTTTTCTCTTTTACCAGCCCCCCCCCCCATTTTTTGTTATTACATATATATTTGTTGTACCTCTGTTTTTGTAGGTCTAATCAGATATGATAAGCTGATGAATATCAGTCACCTATGGATCCAAAGACACTTCCCCTAAAGATACACTTTGCTGATGCAATCACACATTATTAAACCCGTTTACTACTGAATTATCTTATTCCCATAGGCTTAACACAGGGACCACCAGGTTCCCGTAAGCAATGGGTTAAACACGGATAACACCCCTACAAGGTGTATCCTTCACCTATCTTAAAGACCGCCAATACTACTGGCCCAGAAGGGATTAGACCACATCAAGGTCACTGACAGGTGGCTTTCTTATTAACTCAGCTCTCAACTAACATAAAAAAAGAGGATCATGGGGGACCAACAGGCACCGATTGGGGAAGTTTTTCATATAGAGGGAGCAAGTAGCTACAAGTAGGACAGTGGGGCTTTAAGATCAGCAAACCATTTTACAATACTCAGACATAACCGAGTCCACCACCAAATAAACAAAACATTTGAAATCTTAGGCATATCTTGGTATTTGCATTTATATATTTTGAATATGCCACGAAAAGTGTGATATTTGTACAATATTTGATGAGTTGAAAAGGATAAAGTAACAGAGTGTCATTTTGGATCCAGTGATATTACACTTCAGCAAAAATTCGACCACATTTCCTAGGCAGTTTCTGCAGTTTTCTGTATACAGCTTCTTGTTATGAGTGTGTGCTGTGTGTAATATGGCAAGTATATATTCATGTGTTTAACTTTTTATTGGCTGAGACAGTTTACAAAATAGAATAAACAAAGATAATGTAAATTTCATGATAATAAGCCTACATTATCAGAAAACTAGGCAAAAAAGTTTTTCATAAACCCCCCCCCCCAAAAAAAAGGCCTCAATACAAGTTATTTCATTCACCTGATAAGAATGATAGTATTTCAATAGTATTTTAATAGTCAAAATGTGTGCATTCCGATGAAGGTCACACCGCTTACCAATTAATAATGGAAGGTTTTAAAATAATTTTAAGGGGGTAAAACTGAATGTTCTTGTTGTAATTTAAAGGTTTTTGGAGATGAATTTCACTATTTCACTATATTTTTGTTTGCCTTTTTTCAAGAAAGAAAGACAGTAATACTTAGATCAACAGTTTGTTGTGAGTATCCGTAGCACATTTCACATGGACAAATTGTTTAATAAATCTAGCGTTAAACAATTAAGAAACTCGTAAAATTCATAACAGTCATAATACAATTCGTTTCGTTTGTTCCTAAGGCTGAAAGGCATGGTCCTATTTTTGTTAATAAAAGTGTAGTTATTCGTAGTGGAAGACAATACAAACGAAGTGATATTTTAGACTTAAAACTTTAAACTGTATAGTGTAGACTTAGTCTTTAGCTCATGTTTATTGTGTTTTAGAAAAATAAAAATGTATATATCATGTCCTTGTATTCTATTATCATATGTTATTTTGTTTTATATATCTTTCTGTATTGTGTTGTAAATATGTTGTGCTCTCATACCCCTGAAGGGGGTCGATAGAGTCAAATAAAATCTTAGCTTATCTTATCTTACAATGAAACGGTACGTTCATGCATTCGAACTGGTAATCTATGACATGACCCGGCCAATATATTTCCGGGTCAACCTACCAAACCATAGCC